CTACTACTACTACTACTACTAACTACTTCTACTACTACTACTACTACTACTACTATTACTACTATTACTACTACTACTACTACTACTACTACTACTACTACTATTACTACTATTACTACTACTACTACTACTACTACTACTACTACTACTACTACTACTACTACTACTTTTACTGCTTCTACTAATTCTATTCTATTACTACTAATACTGCTATTGCTACTAATACTACTACTATTATTACTACTACAGCTACAACCATTACTACATTTAAATATTGTACTGCACAATTAGGTCTTAAGCTCTTACGCCTTTAAATGAATTCAGTTGGTATCTGTTGTATATTAAATTTTTAATTATTTGAAATTTATTTGAGTTTGTCAAAGTTTGCTCTCTTCTACTTATCAATCACATATAAATATATATAGATTTCTATATTTTATGATGCATAAAACTTAAGCTAAATTGCATTGCATTTTTATGAAGAGCTTTGGAAACACTAAGCTAACGAGCAAACAGTCGGCAAACTCTGGCCAAGCATTGCTGGCAATCATTTAAAACACAAGTAATAAATAACTATAACTATATAAATACATGTATAGAGACAGACACATACATATATATGTATATCTATAATAACAAAATTTGTACAAGTCAATTGACAAATATTTGCATAGAAATGTTATTTAAATATTTGGCAAATAATATGACGTTCTCTATTTGCATTTGAATTGGCTTTGAGCTTTGATAAATCTGTGCCAAAAAAGCCAAAAAGGACACGCACAGGATGTATATATATGTATGTATATGTGTGTGTCTGTGTGCGTGTCGGGTAAATACACAAAAGTTTTGATAATTTGCAAGTGTCGTTGACAATCAGAAGTGTTTCCTCTGCTTCTCTGTCTGTCTTCTGTCTATCTCCATCTCTGTCTATCCGGCCTGTCTGTGTATCCTTAGCTTGACACTTTAAGTGAAATATGCAAATAAATGCATTTGACTCTCTCTCTGTGTGTGTGTGCGTTCGTGCGTGTGTCTGTTTCTGTTTCTATATCCTGCTTTGATTGACTTGTCAATAAACTAATTCAAATATTTGCAGAGAACACTTAAAGCTAATTAGCTGAGTATTTATGATGATTTATAGGACATGCGTGTTGCTAAGGCCGCATGTCCTTTTCTGCTCGGGGAACATGTGCAAATGCCAAATCGCTGAGCCGCATAATTATAATGAAGCGTTTAACCTTAATTCGCTGTGTTATCCTTTTATGCAACTCTTTTTCGCTCGTTTCTTTATATGTATGTATATATAGAGAGAAGACCCCGTTTAAACATTTCATTGTGCTCGCATTCCTTATGCAGGTGCGACAAAAAAGACTTTGCAGCACGCATTAAAAATGAGCCGTCTGCTAATTAAGTTAAGAGTGAAACAGAGAGAGAGAGAGATAGAGCGAGTGAATGAGTGAGCGAGTCAGAACGAGAGACAGCTGTATAGAGAGTGTTTCTGTCGGGTGAGCTTGACATTTTGATACCCTACAATGTGCGAAGAGTCGCTGTTTCGTTCATCTTGTCATCTTAAGCTGGATTTCAAATTCGAAATGTCTCGGCCTTATAGCGATAATCCTGTTCTCCAGATAATCCTGTTTAATCCAATCACGAACTCATTTTGTCGTTTTAAACTCCGTGTCACGCCTTTTACTTGCATATACATCTCGGAAGTTCATTCAATACAATTTACCATAACTTACAGGGTATCCAAAAATATGAAAAAAAAAGAACACTTAAAATATAAATGGAAAAAGTCAGGCCAGGCCGTGCCACACGACACAATGGCGCACGCATTCTGCTGCAGTTACTTTTTGTGCATCAAATAGAACAGATGCCTTGCTCTGCTCTGCTCTGCTCTGCTCTAGACTCCTTGCAGCATCTCCCCGCCTCTCACCGCTCACCCGCTGCCTTCACATGCGGGCAGCATATGTGCCACGCCCTGACCACATTTTAATTGGGCTAAGCACATGTGTGACATGCTATTAGTGAAACTTTTAAATGAGTTAGTTAAGTAAAGCGGGTAATGCTGTTATGAGTTTTGGCTTCAGCATTACAAAAGCTTCGCAGCTGGCACACACACCAACCCACACACACACACACACACACATCCACGCTGATTGTCACGTTCATAAGCCATTGTGTATGTATATATGCACATACTTAAATATGTATGTACGAATGTCTCGGTGTGCATAGTTGATGAAATGTTTCATAGAAAATCCTTGAAGTACTCTCAAGCCCGGCAACTCAATGAGAACTTACACACAGTTAAGACTCAAAGTACTTTTGCTAATTCTATTTACATAGCACTTGCATTAACATTTGCCTGTTAAGCTAACAGCAAGTGCTTATACACACATTTGTTTGCTCTCTTTGACAGACTTTGCTTACTGAGTTTTGAGTGCTTTGGCGTATGTTTTGGTTTATTTTGTAAAAAATCAAAATTTGCTTATAATTTTGATTTGTTGAGTGTAACAGTTTGCTTAACAGTTGCCGATAGCATTTGAGCGTAAAGTTTGCCATTTAACAGCTATCACTTATTAACAGCATTTGAATATCCTCATACCTAACATTTCCTGTTAAGCATAACAGTAGAATCTCTTTAACATTCTCTCACCACCAACAGCTTAACAGTCCGAAACTTGCTTACATGAGCATGTTACATTTAACAGCTCATAATCACTTTCTGTTAAAAGTCTCTCTCGTTAACATTAATCCCATTAAAACTGCCCTCAATTAGGCAGCTCAGCAAAAATAATGCCGACTGTAAATAGGCAATTATCATATCGACATGTTTAGGTTTTGATGTTAAATCGTGAAATGTTTCCCATATAAATCGGAGACTTTTTATAACTGTTTTGTGTGCGTGGTAATTAGGTCATATGTTAAGTGCGAGCTATTAATATCCAATTACATTCGGGTAATATTTTTTTTTCTCTTTTTTGGAATATTTCTTGTGCATATTTAAGTGGCAAAAACTGTTTGAAATGCTGGCAAGTTTCCTTTTTCTCTCCCTCTTCTTCCGTCTCCATCACTTCTCCCTCTTCGCCTTCTTCCTCTGGTATGCAGCAATTATCGCAAATTATATGACCGATATATGATTGCATTTATACTCAACTGAGGGAGCGAGAGACGAGAGACAGCGATAGAGGCCCATGGAATGTTTTCCTTTTTTTTTCGGGGGGAATATGAAACAAAACGAATGCCAAGAGAGAAAAAATATTATTCAATTACGTCAATGGGTCAATGGGAATGTTGCAGCAATTCGAATTACGCGTTGCCCAATTGATGGGCGTAAATATGCGTTGCAATAAATACTTGAGGTTGGCTCTGACACCCCCCACACCCACGCCCACCTTCCACCTTCCACCTTCCACCGCCCAGCTCCTCCACAGCTCGATAAATTTCATATAACAGCAGCAATCGCATTCAGTTCGTTCTCATTCACAATAATTTTATTTCGCCCTCTTCTTTCCCTGTTCTTCTTTTTTGTTTTGCTTCCTCGAATTACGTCGGCTTTTGTTATCTGGATTTATGCCACGCATCCAACATGAATGAATGCTCTATTTATTAGGCTTATTTCGACAGCAAATTGTACTCGATATAATCGCAAAAGGATATTTGGGCAGCAACGAAATGCTATTGTTGCCTTTTTGGTTATCCTATTGTTCTTTTTATTTCCAATAATTATGAACTAACATTTTGTATGAGATTTGTAGTACATAAGTGAATCGGAGTGCTATAGGATTGTGGAATGAAATGGAGACTATGGGGAATATCGTAATATCATAGTAGGTTTGCGAATAGGAATGTTCGACTAGCAAATGCCCTGAGCAAAGACTGGAAGCATTCGTTCGATTATTTTAACAATCGAAGATTTAACTTCGTGATAAACAAAATCCTTTAGATTATCATTAATCTAATAGATAGTCGTCAATTCGATCAAAGAGTTACAACCTTCTCATCATTTTATATTATACTAGCTTTCTTTTATGATTATTTTTTACATATTTTTGCTTCAATCTTCATTTACTTTTTGCACAATTTATTGACATTCCAAATCTTTATATAGCTTTATATTCCCTACCGTCAATGTATACTGTGCGAAAGGAATGCACTAAGAAATATTTTCTAATGCACTTCTGTTGCGCTTGTCGAGGGCACAATTTAAAGGCAAAGACAAAGTCGAGCAGAGTGAGTGTGGTGGAGGCGTGGTGACACCCATAAATGAGGCTCAATGAAGAGCCGTAGGCATGGTCGCAATGATAAAGCCTGACTGCATGGCTGGCTGGTTAGCCTGGTGGTTCGCTGGCTGGCTGGCTGGCTGGTCGTTCGATTGCCCGTTCCGAGGCTTGCCCTATTTGCATAAAATTCAAATAAAATAAACGACAAACATTATAATCATTAGCTGGCGAACGGCCTCCTGGGTGCAGTGGCATCCCAGAGCTGGCGCAGCCCTGCGCTGACATATTTATGGAGTTTGTATGTTAACGAGCCGTAAATTAATTTAGCTAATGATATACTATGTATGTAAGTATGTGTGTTTGTGTATGTGTGTATGGGTGTGTGGGTGTACCTCTCTTAAATGCCTATCCAATCCTGCAGAGCGACCTTCTGCTGCTCCACCTGCTCGCCCAGCTGCTGTGTCATGGCGAATGAGATGAGCACCAGCAAATAGTTGCACACAATCGAGGTATACTGAAAGAGAAATCACAGAGAGAGAGAAAGAGAGAGAGACAGCAATAATGAGAATCTGATAATGACAATGGCTAAACAACAAACTTATTTAGAGTCTGGCTATCAAGAGATCATGCTTTGGACTTCCTCGCATCTTCTCTTATTCCCTCCCTCTCTCCATTTCCTTTCAGGTTCTCCCACTCACCTCGGTAATAAGAGTTTTATCGTACACCGTGCTCCTGCCACTCGTGAAATTGATTTTGAACTGTAGGCGCCAGCGCATTATGGACTCCACGAGCTCTTTAATGCCTGGACTGCCCGGGAACCAATTGTCCAGCTGCTCGAGCAAATGCAAGCACTTGCGGCCCTCCTCGATGCTGTTGCTGCAGTAGACAGGCCCGATGAGCATCTTGTAGAACGGCACCAGCATGCAGATGGAGAGGAATGCCATCAGCATCACGCCCATCGCCTCGCCCCCCTCCGGACTCTCGCCGTAGCTGCCGTCCCCAATGGCGCTGCTGCTGCTGCTGTCTGAGGAWCGCCCGAAGATGATGTACAGCTCGGTGGTGCTCAAGGCGAAGTCGTGGACCATGGCAGACCACACGGTGACATTGTAGACCTCGTTGATCTCCATAACGAGGTAATGCAGCTGCTTGACCGTATCGATCAGGGAACGCAGGCCATTCTCCAGCTGCGGCTTCTGCAGGCGCTGCGGCTGCAAAATTTGCTGCAGCAGGCGAAATCTGATGCCCAGCAGCTCGGCCAGGCTCATGTGCACGAAGCCCGTTAGATGCGGGCCACCTGTGATGACGATGTAGCAGAGGGCGGCGGGCACCACGATCTCCAGGTGATGGCCATCAGCCAGGCGCGTCAGACCCATGTTCACAGCGCCCAAGTAGAGGACGGCCACCGTGAAGAGCACCACGATGTGCTTGCGCACCACCTTGCCGTAGTTCATGCGGGCACCGAACTCGCCTATCAGGCGCCTGTCGATCTCGGCCAGCTGCTGGTAGATGGCCACGTATCGCTGCGACCAGGAGTGCAGCGAGATCACTGTGATCAGGAAAACCAGCGTGGAGAGCAACAGCTCCATGGCCATGATGCACAAGACAAGCTTGTCCACCTGCAGCACTCGCTCCAGCAACACTTCATTTTGCAGCAGGTCATAGATGGTGGCACTCAGACCATAGATTATCAGGCTCACAAAGCTCAGCGAGTAGAGACGCGTCCACTTGTTGCTGACAAAGCGACCTGCCCGCTGGAAAAATCCACTGCAGCCCATGACGAACTGCACCCAGCTAATCAGGCTGACGCATTCGTGCAGACTTTGCGGTTCCCGAATGAAGTACAAAATCGCCATTACTGCCAGCTCGCTGGATGAATCAGAGCTCGGTCGCGTTGCGTGGACAACTGAATTCGAATCCTACGTGCGTTATGTTTCCGCCCAGCTCTGTGGCCTTTGGATATTCAAGTAATTATTGAATGCCATGCTATAATGAAGCATTCAATCTGATAGCTGTGCGAAGCAAAATGCATCAATAACTAATTAAGCACATTATATACAGAGGACGAACGATGGCTGTTAATTACGAAATCTTCGTATCGATCAAACTGTATATACACAGTAAATCTGAAGTCTCTAGGTCTAAAAGTGTCCAAATTAGGCTGAAAGAACAAAGTCGATTTTTCGATTATTCTCGATAAAAAAGTTATCGGATGAGTTATCGAAAAAATAAGATMAACTTGTWCTGCCTATGGTATACACGAGTATGCATGCCAAATTTCAGCTCTCTAGCTCTTATATCTTCTGAGATCCTTTTGCGCATACGGACGGACGGACGGACAGACGGACAAGGCTCGTCGTCCTGATCAGGAATATATATACTTTATGGGGTCTGCGATGATTCCTTCTGCCTGTTACATACTTTTCACAAAATCATTATACCCTGATTTCCCATTTTCAATGGAGTGGAGTAAGATTTTATATCCAAATACAAGATCTATATAGCAATACAGTTTATTTACCTTCATACTGCAGAAGTATCATTACCTAGGCTTTATTATAGATGCTCTATTCAGTTTATGTTTTTCCCTAATCCTTATCATTTCCATAGCTTGAAAGTAGAACTTAATGACACCAACATATTCGCTAAGCCCCTTGGGCGAGACGTCGGTGATTTTTAGGGAAAACATGTAAATGCCTAAAGGCAAAACTGGGAGCATGTTCTCATCAATGGATAAGTTCCGCGCATAGAGATGATTCTGTAGGTGATTATGAGAATTAAACTAGTTTACAAATCAGTGTATTCAATTATTGAATTCAATTATTCAATTATTGAATTTGAATATCATAATACCTCAATTGGGCAGGAGTGGTTGACATTCGAGAACTCCTTGACTGTTCTCCACAGGATTGTTCCGTAGGGCAAGAAGCTTCTCTTAGCTAAGATGTCACATGCATTGAAGGTGACATTGACCAGGAAGGGATGGTACTGATTGCTGTAGCCCTTTTTAAACACCTCCAACTGAACCTGCAACAGAGGCTATTACACCTAGATATTATTCTAACTAGACATTATTATTTACCGAAAAATTGCGCATTGGCACAACGAGATCACAGTCCATTTGGGCAACTGCCTTGTTCCAATTGATTGCTTTGATGATGCAGGAGAGATTCACAGCGCGTTTCGGGTTGCCAATGCATTCGATATTTGTTGTCTTGTATACAATCTTGGGTTCGGCGCCCTGAAAGAGAAAAACCCTTGAGTATCGAATAGATTTGTTGCATTTTAAATGCATTTAACTGCACTCCATTCTGGCAGTAGGATTATGAAGACAAGCCAAGCTAAATACATTTTGTCGACTGATCGAGTGGCAAGGGCTGCACTTTAATATAACAGAGATACAAAGTTATTTTTAATTGTAGGGGCATCAGATTAAATGAGGCGAAATCATTAGCAATATCGTAAAATTGATTTTACATTGGTGTACAAATTTTGAGTTTGAAATCTATTTTATGGTGATTAAATTATATAACCCAACGGATGAGCTGGATTCACTGCCATACTTTTGCAATTTAAAATGAATTATTTCAATTAAATAAAAGAAATTTCTCGATTTTTTTTTTATTAATTCTACTGTTGCTTAATTTTAACCATTTCCTTAACATTCACATAAAACTTTACGGTACCAACGAATCGAGCAGGTCCATCTGCGTAGTTCTCAAAGAATTTTAGAGAAATTAGATAAAAGCCAAGTGGGAAATTCGGCATTAGCTTCTCATCTATGTACAAATTTCTAGCCAGCAGATGACCCTGGAAATTACGAGTTTAATAAAACATTCATCAAACAGTCAATGAACAGGGAAACATTACCTTAATGGGGCAGCTGTGATTTACATTTGTGTATTTCTTGATCACTTTCCAAAACATCATGCCATAGGTCAAAAAATTCCTCTTGGAGATAATGTCACATAAATTGACAACTGCATTAACCAGAAACGGATGATATCGATTGCTGTAGTCGCGCTTAAACAACTCTATGTGCACCTAGATATATCAAGAAAGGAATATAATATATGGGAATACCATGCAAATGCCATTTACCGATGTGTTTGTCAGAGGTAGTATCAGATCACAGTCCATGTAGGCCACGGCCTTGTTCCAATTGATTGCCTTGAGGTAGCAGGTTGCATTTACGGCGAATGCGGGATCCGGGAAGCATTCAATATTGGTCGACTTATACACAAGCGCGGAATCAGCGCACTGCATATATAGATATCATATTAACATACTATTTTATAAGATATGGTAGAAGCTCTTGAGAGTATTACCACTCTGTAAAGGTGCCACAGATAGAAAATAATGCCGATTCGAAAATACATTGCGCTCACTGATAATACGTCAAGTGCCTCCTATTTATGATTGATGATGTTCACATTTGTTTTAGTACAATATTTTAAATATCATTAAAAACAAAAACAAAATTACTTAACAGGTTTTTAATAGCAATCGATTAGCATTATATTATCGAGACATAATTAAAACTTGATTTATGTTCGTGGAATATAAATATGTGGATATATATGTAAATGTGCGTAGTTAACTATTTAAGATGCATGAGCACTCGATATTCGTCATTTTATACAATATAAATGATGGAGGCAACAAACTAAAATTATCGAAAGTAGGATAATACAACAATCGATCGATCAATTTATCAACCTCCAGAAAAGGAAACACAAAAGGAAACAGAGCAGAAAATAAATATAATTAGTACTCAGTGAAGGAGACAAGGAATGATATTATTATTAAAAGGTAAATATACACATATACTTTAATCATAATCTGATTTGCAATCATTTCAATATTTATTCATAGGAGTTATACCATGTATAGCATATTCTAATATTTCAAGTTGGCTCAAAGTAAAATTCACAGTTTTATTTTTTGATTTTAAAGGTCAATACACTTTATTACAGCGTTAGGGCATATTTAGAAACATCGATAAGTAAGTTAAATATGGAGAAATACGTTTTTTTATTTCATACTCCCATCTTACAATAGGTTACTTGTATTATTTCTGTTGACCTTCAGTTTCTTCCTTAGTTTTATCATTTCCATAACTTGAACATCAAGGTTGGAGAATGCAAGTTTGGTACTTGGTCTGTCGGAAAAGCCCTCAGTAATCTTAGCGGTAAAACGGTAAAAGCCTAAAGGAAAAGTTGGCAATAGGCCCGGTTCCATGGTGAAATTCCGTACATATATATGATTCTATATATGTGTTAAAGGTTTCTATTCAGTTTAATAATCAAGTGTTATCGCAATCAGTTCACCTCAAACGGACAGGTGTGGTAGGCATTTGTATAATCTTTGACTAGATTGACCCAAATTCTACCGTAGGAAAAGAAGCTTCGTTTTGCAAGGATGTCACACACATTAAACGTAGTATTGATCAGGAATGGATGGTACGTATTGGTGTAGCCCCTTTTAAATACCTCAAACTGGACCTGAAACAGAAGTCCTTTATAAAGAAACCCGCATTTTAAAACCAAGATTATTATTTACCGAGCAATTGTACAATGGCACAACGAGATCACCGTCGTATTGAACAGTCGCCTTGTTCCAATTGACCGCCTTAATGGAGCAGGTGAGGTTCTCTACGTATTTCGGGTTAGCGCTGCACTCGACATTCTTAATCTTATAAACTATCTTTGGATCAGCGCACTGAAAAAAAGTAAAGTTTGTAATGTCTTATGGATCTACACTATTTCTCGTGTTGTTTACTAAACTCAACGCCGTCCCATGGATTACGAAGACTATCCAAAGTAGGTACATTTCCCCGAGTCGACTTTACTTTTTAAATGGCTATGCCTGCACTCAATATATAGGTAGAAATCGTAATTGATTTTTAATTGCTGCGAAAACATAATAATTGAAGCGATAAGTCATTATCATATGAGTGTATATATATTCATAAATGTCATAATATTGATAATTTTAATATCAAGAGCTTATATTTGTAATTACTGCTAATCGAAGCATAACAAATTTGTAATGTATGAAATAGTAGAACATGTGTCTAAATAGGTTAACATATACTTACAGTAGATTCCTGATAATTCGAAATGGCAAGGGAATTCGAGAATTATTATTGGTTTATCGCGATTTTCGTTTTAACGGGGTTATCATTGCTGTGAAGCCTATAAGAAATCAATTAGACAAGACATTTTTGCATTTAGCTGGAATTTTTTATTCAAAAATCCACAGAAATCAGGAGCTCATAACTGAAATTGGGTTAACAAAACTCATTTTACTTTGGAGGTTGATTTAAACTTTCGTTGTAGTTTTTCATAGTTTTCCTTCTATTCAATTTAACCATCTCCATGGCATGGACAAAAATCTTGATTTCCCCAATGTAGTCGTAGCCGTTGACATAACTTTCCATTATGAAAACTGAAAATTGATAGATACCCAATGGGAATGTCGGTAACAGGCCCTCATCGATGTACAAATCGCGGGCCATAATGTGGCCTATGAAGGGGCAAGTGTGATTAAAATTCGTAAATCGTTCAGATAGCTTTCGAATTATTACGCCATAAGGCGAAAAGTTCCTTTTCGAGAGCACGTTACACATATTCAATATAACATCGATTAGAAAGGGCTGATATTGATTGTTATAGTCTTGTTTGTAAACCCGGACTCGAACCTGCAAGATTAGAAGAAATAATTAGTTCATAAAGTTCTCTTTAAAGTTCTGCTTAAAATATCCTTTACTCACAGTCATATTGCGTACGGGTTGAATAATCTCACAATCCATTTGAGCGATTGCCTTATTCCAATTTATCGCTTTCAAAACGCAAACCGATGTCGAAACAAACTTGGGATTCTTTAAGCATTCAATCTTTTTCATTTTGAATATTATCTTGGGATCGCAGCTCTGCAAAAGTTTAAAACTTACTTTTTAGAACTTTCAATAATAGTTTTCAATTCACCCCTTGATATATCAGAAACACGCTGACCAGCGCAAATAGTTTCAAGTCCATGACTGTCCAGTTGTGAAATAAGTTGGCAAAATAGAAATGTAATATATGTGGAAAGAACGATAGGATAGAATAGGTTCATAATTGCAAACAAATCGATTTTTAATGAATTTTTTGTTATGAAAGTTTATGTTATGGAAGTTCTATTTCGAAATGTAAGTGGGAAGAGATCTTTCCACTGATTTCATAGAGAATAATGTGATATGGTTTGTATATGGACAAACCATTACTAATTTATGTTATATACATACAACTAATACTTCTAAATACGTATATGTATATTTATATGTTTATGGTTCCGTGGTTCCGATAGAGCAGCTCATTTGAATAAATTACTGAACTTGTTCAGGGATCAGTCTGCAATGAACGTTGTCATGAATGCTAATCTTGACTCAACTGAGTTTAGGGAGTAGTTTGATTCTCATATTGATTTTCGAATGAATCGACTGCTTTCGTCGACTGCTCCTCCTCAGAACTCCATGAACTTATCAATCATTTACCGAGCATTATGAATCAGGCATTACTCTCTTGCTCATTAATAATATAATATAATAATTTAAGCTGATGCATGGATAGGAACTAGAGCAACCGACTCTTCGCCGTAATTACTTTAATGTATAATCGATTTTTGTCGTAAATATAATATAAATCAATGTGATTACCAAGTAGTTGTTGCTGCTGCTGCTGGCTCATGGCAGCGGCTTCAATTTAACAACATAATCTATGGCATTATGGCAACTGTCATTGGAGCTGACGCCGTTTCAAAAGTCGCTGACGAGGCGTACGACAGAAGTTGATGGCTTCCAATGGGCGACACGTGCACCCAACTCCCTCTGGCGGGAAAGTATTGCATAATTTACGGCCGAGCAGCAGCAACAACAGCAGCAACAGCTGCAGGAAGTATTGACACGGATATGGCAGCTGGCAAATGGCAAATGGAAGTTGGCAGTTGGCAGTTGCCAATGGGCTCTGGGCTGAACTATTATCCCGGTGCAGACTCTGTCCAGACTCTTGGCCGCAAGGCGCCGGCATTTTGTCGCCTTTAATTAATTAAACTTGATTAACGAAAATTTTATGATTGTCCACTGGCAGGCAGCAGGCAATCAATCATCCCATCCATCCATCCAGCTCTCATCCTGCTCTCGTTTGCCGCTGTTCACGCGATTCTGTTAATTATTTTGCATTAAATATTTATGAGCTGACGGAGTCCAGCAAAAAAAAAAATGGAATTGGCTAATACGGCTAACGATAGCAACAACAAAAGTGTAGTGTAAAATTCATTAGGCGTGCGCAAAATTAACGCCTGACAACAACACTACACCTAAAACAACAACAAATGTACAAGGTTCAACAACAACAACAGCAACATCATTTGTTATAGTTACTAGATTGTTGTTGTTCAACAGTTGACTGCACACAACACATTTATGCTAGTTCATAAAGCGATCAAGAGAGTATATCGGTTTTAGTTTAGTTTAATGCTCGGCTGCCTATCATTTTATCTGTAAAGTTAGAGATTGAAAATTTGACATGATTAGTTAGTCAGACTAACAAGTTTGAAGAGATTTGGTAGGAACTCAACAGAGATGTGACTATTAGTCATACATACACATACATACATACATGCATACATACTTATATACAGTCAATGTTATACAGGGCTATCCATATTCGACTGACTCATCTGGCAGCCTTATATCTTTTGACAGAGATGCCAGATCGCTTATTGACATACCGCGTTGGAAGCTTTAGTCTAAGCAGATTTTCACCATGAATCCGTATACCCCATGCGAGTGCTCCCAAATCGTTGAAATTTACATATAATACTTCATTTCATTTAATTTTTAATTATACTTCATTTTACTAAGTGTAAGCAGGTATTCAGAAGTCAGGCAACATTCTTCATTCTTCATTTTTTAAAATTTTTTTTTATTTTTTATTATTTTTTTTTTTTAAAACTAGTGATTTCATGGCTCGCTAATTTAACAGATGAGCCATTAGAATATAATAATATTTTTTATACATATTTATACGTATAGAAAATATATTAAAGCATATGATTAAAAGAATACTCTTCAGTGAGTATAGATAGATAGATAATTTGTTACTGAACTTAATTTTAATTTTTTAATTTACTGAATTTAATTTTTAATATATAACATAAAGCATAGGACAACCCTCTAAAATGATTCGTTTCGATTGGACTCATATGAAAAAGTCCGTTCAATATTTGTAAATATTTATATGAAGATATTGAGAGATCTAGAGAGATATCTTTATCTATAGATTATCTTTATATTAAAATATTCACTATATCTGTAATTATTATCTATATCTATATA